TCAGAACGATAACATACGAATGATTTAAAAACCGTAACTTTATGAAATATATAGACCATCAGATATTAAATTATTTGTAAATATCTATTGATGTTTTGTTTTATTAGGCATTTTATTCACTTGAAGGTTAGTGAATAGTTATAGGGATAATTTCTAAACTCCCTCTCCCCAGATGACGAGAGGCTATTGAGTGTGTCCATGAAATTAAGTGATGTTTGGAGGTGATTAATGAACCGTCATGTACAAGGCAGGAATATGTATTATTTAACTCTCTAGTCTAATGATGGCGAGTCTCATAAGTATTACTCTTGTTGTTGTTGTTATTGTTATTATTGTTGTTATTATTATTATTATTATTATTATTATTATTATTATTATTATTATTATTATTATTATTATTATTATTATTATTTGTAGTAGTAGTAGTAATTGTTGTGATAATACTTCTTATATTACTTCATTAACAATAGTAACATAACGACACAGAGTTCTGCTGACATTAGACACCAGCGTCCACCAAGTTCATTCAATCAACCATTACTGAGACTCTCAACACACGGCAATACAATAACAATCATGGAACTGTACGCACACAGCTTGTAGATCTCCCGAGAGGCTGTGTGTGTACTGTGTCTGTTTTTGAGTGTAGTGTGGTTGGTGTGCGTGTTGGGGAAATACTTCTCACATTATTGGTGGTTAACGGAGGATGTTATTGAGAGTGTTCCAAGTCAATTTTTGATTTTGGAAGACAGTAATGCATTGTTATGGCCGGAGCTCCTGTTGAGGTTTACTATATACCTGTATTGCCTATAAACATGGTGAATCAGTTTGAACTTGTATGGCGATTTTATTGAATGATTATCTATATATCTATTTTTTTATAGTTGTGTGTTGTGGAAAGCGAGTTGTAGTTAAGAGGTAAATTTTCTTGGCAGTTGAAGCATCAGGAACAATATAACAGCGAGTCTAGTTAGGGGAGGGGAGGGGGGTCCTGACCTTTCCTGCCTCTGAAGGTCAAGGGGTGACTTAGTCTAGGATACAAAACACTGTGAGAGGGGTGAGAGAAAGGGTTATGGGAGGGGTGAGAGGAAGGGGTTATGGGAGGGTGAGAGGAAGGGGTTATGGGAGGGTGAGAGGAGGGTTTGGGAAGGGTGAGAGGGAGGGGTTATGGGAGGGTGAGAGGGAGGGTTATGGGAAGAGAGGAAGGGTTATGGGAAGGGGAGGTGAGGAGGAGGAGTTATTGTGAGAAATTAATATGAAAGAAATAGAGGAGGAAATAATAGGTTGGGGAAGAAAAGAAGAAAGAAAAGGAAAATGTAGAGCATAAAAGGAAGAGATGGATGACGAGAAAGGAAGAGCATATGTAAATTTGTGCATGTGGAATGGGGAGGAGGAGGAGGAGGAGGGAAAGATGGATGGAGTAGAATTTAGAGGAATTGATGGGGAAGGAGTGAGAGGGGAAATTGGAGGGAGAGTAAAGGAGGAGAAGGAGGGTGGAGTGACAGATTGGTGGAGGGAACCGCTTGATGGTGAAACAAAGAAGGGGAGGAGGAGAGCGGGGTGAGGGATTGGCAGGAGGGAGACATTGAGGGATTGATGGCTGGGGGAGGATGAACTGGGGGGAGGGAGGGATTGGTGGGTGAGGGAGGAGGGAAGGGAGGGAGGTAGGAAAGGTATAGGGAGTATATGTACTGTATGTGGGGGGGGGCAGAGGGAAGCTGTCATGTATTGAAACACAGAGTTGGTACACCAAGTCAAACAAGGTCAATATCTCCTAACCTGACCTTAACCTAACCTTAACCTAACCTAACCTAACCTTAACCTAACCTAACCTTAACCCAACCTAACCAAAACGGGACAATTGACAACCAAGGTATATTTCTAGGTCGCTTTCTTTTCAGTAATTAAACATTCATGAAATTCAGATTTGAAATTCCACAAAAAATATATGAGAATAATAACCCAGTTTCTCATCTGACTTTCTTTTTTTATCATCATGATCCAATAAGCGTCAGTGAATTCATTTCCATCATTTGAGTTGAAAGATGATATAATTCAGTGGCGTTGGTAAATGGTCATCTTGATAAATGAATTCTGGAAGATATAGAATGAAGAATTTAAGTGATGGAGTCAATGTGATGGTATATCTAAAGGGGAGACGTGTGGTTAGGGTAGGGTAGGGTAGGGTAGGGTAGGGGAGGGGAGGGGAGGGGAGGGTAGGGGAGGGTAGGGTAGGGTAGGTTAGGTTAGGGTAGGTTTCTGCTAGACATAGTTGTGGACATGGAGAAGGGTCTATGTTATTTATGTTTTATTCAGAAACATGAGCTGTATAAACGCTTAAAGGCCTTAGTTGTTGAAGCTCAGTAATACATTATAACATCACCATCATACACTATTAAATATGTATAAGCAGCTGCTGTGAAGGATTTACTCTTAGTTTTTGTCTCTTGTGGAAACCTTTTTTAGTCATTATAGACGATAGTTGTTAAAAGACAGACAGACAGACAGACATATAAACAACAACTGCTGGTATAATAAGGTAGCAGTTGTTTGTTTTGATACAGGTAACATACATTCTCTCTCTCTCTCTCTCTCTCTCTCTCTCTCTCTGTAATGTTGAGTACTAACTGACTTCACACACACATTTGGTACATATAAGGACAACATACATGATTTTTGGTAGAGTAATTCTGAACACACACCTGATACACACTCCATCAAGGACCAACTCGAGACCCTGATACAGTGAGGGGAAACACCCGAGAAAGGAAAGAGAGAATTTCCTGTCTTCTTACTTTCCTCCCACGACCTCGAAAAACCCATTCTCATGGCACCATCACCAGCTAACTTACTTAGCGGCCCACTAAGCATCAAGTGGCCATCCACGAACCCTAGGGGAGCCACTCGGCCCCCTCCTGCAGGTAAGGGCCCTTAACCCATCAGGGTGTCTCTGCAGTTCCCTTGGTATGGCCCTTAACATCCTAGGTGGGCTACTAAACCTCCCCCGAGGGCTTTTAAACCTGCTAGGTAGCCTTTTAAATCCCCCTGGGTGGGCTCCTAATCCTCCTGGGTGGGGAGCTTTCAAACCTCTTATAGGCTTTCCACTCACTTCTTGGAAATGACGACACGAGATGCATGTGCCCCATCAGCTCCGTCAGGGAGGTAGTGGGGGCGACGAGGAACCTGCAGGGCTGTTGTTGTTTACTTTGTGTTGTGACTTACTGTAGTGTAGGAGGTGCTGCAAGACGACCCAAGCTGTGGCTCAGGGTGAAAGCGTCTTGTGTGTGGGAGGGGTGTGTGGGAGGGGTGTGTGGGAGGGGGATGAAGTTAATAGATCTCATTGGCTTTGTTATTGGAGGGGGAGAGGGAATCATTTAATGTTTTGTTTGTGATGTTATTGATTTCTCATGTTGACGTTGGGAGCCGAAGGGGGGTGTTGTATGTACGGTTGAGAGTCTACAACAATGAGTTATTAAAATGGACGGACTTAATGTACAAATACCAGAGAAACAAACACACACATACACACACACACACACACACACAAAAACACACACACACACACACACACACACACACACACACACACACAAAACACACACACACACACACACACACACACACACACACACACACACACACACACACACACACACAACACACACACACACACACACACACACACACACACACACACACACACACACACACACACACACACACACACACACACACATACACACACACACACACACACTCACACAAACTAAAACTAACACAAACACATCAAAAGATCAACAAGATCAAAACGCCTTTGTATTATCAATAAAAAAACAAAACACAAAAACTGCAAACTGCAAAAATACACAAATAAAAACTCACCAAAGGGAATAACAGGAATATTGAAAGTAAAAGACAAATTAAAAATATTTTTCAAAATTTATTATCACACATCCTTGGTATAAAACGCCTTTTATTTTTCTAATGAACGACAAGCACCAAAATTATATATATATTTATTTATGTATGTATATGCAAGCTTACACAATATATACAAATAATACATAGAAATACACAGGGGATGTATACGTCATAATTATAGGTGGGAAGTATACGTCATAATTATAGGTGGGAAGTATACGTCATAGTTATAGGTGGGAAGTATACGTCATAGTTATAGGTGGGGAGTATACGTCATAGTTATAGGTGGGAAGTATACGTCATAGTTATAGGTGGGGAGTATACGTCATAGTTATAGGTGGGAAGTATACGTCATAGTTATAGGTGGGAAGTATACGTCATAGTTAAGTAGTACGTCATAGTTATAGGTGGGGAGTATATCATAGTTATAGGTGGAAGTATACGTCATAGTTATAGGTGGAAGTATACGTCATAGTTAGTTAGTGGGAAGTACACGTCAGTAGTTATAGAAGTATACGTCATAGTTATAGGTGGGAAGTATACGTCATAGTTATAGGTGGGAAGTATACGTCATAGTTATAGGTGGGAAGTATACGTCATAATTATAGGTGGGAAGTATACGTCATAGTTATAGGTGGGAAGTACACGTCATAGTTATAGGTGGGAAGTATACGTCATAGTTATAGGTGGGAAGTATACGTCATAGTTATAGGTGGGAAGTATACGTCATAATTATAGGTGTGAAGTATAGGTCATAGTTATAAGTGGGAAGTACACGTCATAGTTATAGGTGGGAAGTATACGTCATAGTTATAGGTGGGAAGTATACGTCATAGTTATAGGTGGGAAGTATACGTCATAGTTATAGGTGGGAAGTATACGTCATAGTTATAGGTGGGGAGTATACGTCATAGTTATAGGTGGGAAGTGCACGTCATAGTTATAGGTGGGAAGTATACGTCATAGTTATAGGTGGGAAGTATACGTCATAGTTATAGGTGGGAAGTGCACGTCATAGTTATAGGTGGGAAGTATACGTCATAGTTATAGGTGGGAAGTACACGTCATAGTTATAGGTGGGAAGTATACGTCATAGTTATAGGTGGGAAGTATACGTCATAGTTATAGGTGGGAAGTATACGTCATAATAATAGGTTTTAGGTAACTACATAATACAGGAAAATGACACTGAAATTGGCCTATTTAACACGACTACAAACTTCCTTTTTTTTGGACCTATCGTTAAGAAAATATCTCTTACAGTATATGGACAAATGAAGACGATTTTTTTGACTAGAAATATACCTAAAAAACACTTGTAAATGACATAAGGTGTAACATTTTCTTTAGTTAAGTATTTTACCCATGTTGAAGACTGAGTTTTATTTAGACAGTTAATGCTAAAAAAATTTGGGGTCGAAATATTGAAAAAAAAATATCATAGCAAACGAATCTAAATAACATGGATGACTAAAGAAAATTTTACGATATCAGAAATACACTTGGTAAATATTTATGGACGCATTTATTCTTTTATTATAAATTATACAACTTATATTTGAACATATACAAGGAGAGCTTAGTGATTATTTAATAAATAATTTTCGTTAACTGACAGAAAATTACGTTCGTTCACAAATTGGATTAAAAATTATATCATCGACGTGGGAATTATTGATGAACTTTGACGATTAATTATTATCAGTTAATAGTTTAAGTCTTTCATTATCTACTCACATGTCAGTTACTTATTTACACACTTATGTATCTACTTGAACATCTACTTTATTTATCAACTTTTCCCGTTTTATTTTAACTACTTTTCAACTCATCTACTAACCAAACTTTTTCCCTCTTATCTGTGTACTGTATTTATCCATCTACTTATAAATTCCTCTAATCTACTACTTGGCTATCTACCACTCACCCATCTCAAGTTCCTACGCCATCTATTCAATTAATTATCTACTAGTCCACCTGAATATCTACCTTCATCTACCTATCTATCTACCTACCTATTCTACCTTTTATGTCTTCCACCTGACCCATTTATTATCGCCAAATTAGAGTTACTTGCTTCTCACATAACCTCATATCCGGGCTCTGGTTGTTATTGAAAAGCCTCAGTTATGTTCGTTGCTCCGACCTTCCTCCAAGACCACCTCTCTCTCTCTCTCTCTCTCTCTCTCTCTGTCGATATTTATTCCTAGAAGTGTGTGTGTGTGTGTGTGTGTGTGTGTGTGTGTGTGTGTGTGTGCAGGTGGAGGGCGGGATTAATAAAGGCCAAGGAAATGAAATCTCTGTGATGACTGATTTTTTTTTTTGAGAAGGAAATGACAACAACAGCAACAACAGAAAAAGATGAAAAACGAGATAATCTTTTTGTCAGTATTGGGTGTTAATGAAATAATTTCCTCTCCATACTTTATTTTTGTTTTGTTATCATTTATTATTTATCCGTCTAGTAAAATATGAGGAAAATTACACATAGTCCTTTGAAATGAAGTTATCTCTTTCTCTCTCTCTCTCTCTCTCTCTCTCTCTCTCTCTCTCAAAAACACTCAACTCATTAGCCTTGAATATCGAGTAATTTTTGTCACCGAGGTCTTACAATTTTCTACCTACGGTTTAACTTCCCACGTAATGTCGAGAGAGGATTCATACACCTGCTATAACTCTCAGTATAAACAAATACACTGAGGAATGAAGTCACATGTGTCAGTACTTATTCTGGGACCATACAGAATCCTTTTTAGTCAATTACGCCTGGTTAGACATTTTTATGGTAGTAAGTAATTGGACATTTTTAACCCATAGATATTTATTTATGTTATTTCCATGGTACTTTGAATAATGACTCTACAGGATCTTCATCAGTGATTACAACAAGTAAATGAAAGTTACCACACACACACACACACACACACACACACACACACACACATACATACACAGAACAGCAAACACGTCTTTATTTCTCGGCAATGGCTCAAAAGGACTATTTTGTACGAGAAGGAAATTCCCCCTCCAGCCCAGAATTCCCTTCTAAAAGTTTCAAAAGTTATGTCTCACACACACACACACACACACACACACACACACACACACACACACACACACACCGCCCCGCTCCAGTTCTCTCCCAGTCGGGTATTGGGCGGATGTATTGAAAGTAATATCTCACTTTTGTTTTTGCAAGTTCCAAATCACACACACACACACACACACACGGATATCCACCCAGTTGCTAACAGTTGCTTATTTTGTTTCTTGTCTCAGTTTTACGAAATAAAACTTCAGCAATATCCGAAGAATGCGAAATGCCGTAACTTTTCGGCCACAACCTTTCATTGAAGCTCCCGACAGTCCCCGAGGCGGTTGAGAAACATTCCAGTCCATTTATTATGGTTTTCAAGTTTGTACACATGAGTAGAATATCACTCCCCCCTCAGCGTCTATTACCTAACCAAAGTATTGTGTGTGGTCAATTTTGGGCTCGAGTAACTCTTGTGAGCCGGCGATGTCTGTCAGTTCGTCGATGGTGGCGATAGTCACGTCTGGACGGCTCGAACTTTGCCCGTTAGGCTTGTTGTTATTTTTCATCTCCTTTGCCTTCATTTTTTTCGCCTCGAGTGACTGTCCTTCACAGGTGTAGTAGAAGGCAGAGTGGCGGCTGTAAGCGACGACTCCCAGGATCACCAGAATGAGACACAGTAGGACAATACAACAGCCAATCACAATCACCATGTGCAGCTTTTCTCTCAGTAGTCGCCCCATGGACCAGCCCGTCCCGTGGTCCTCCTGAATGGTCAGTTGACTTCGAGGTAACATGGGCTCGATGGTACCTTCATTGAGGACTGGTGTGTCCCAGGAGGGTGCGGCTGCTGGCAGCTCTTGAGGACATAGAGGCAAGTCCCCAAGAGGCAGTAGAGCCAGTTCTAGACCCTCCAGACCGATGGGACCCACACACCTCAGACACGTCCACACCCGAGGCTCATCACAACCAGACTCCTGGTCGGGGGCGTCATGTAGCCAACGGAGCAGCGGCCCCACGTGGCACAGGTCACACTGCCAGGGGTTACCTTCCAGTCGAAGTTTGCGCAGATGTTTTGAGGCACTTATTGCTGACACCATCTTGTCGTCCATTTTTCTGAAGCTGTTACGGGAGAGATCTAGGGTACGTAGTTGTGGAGCATTCAGCAGTGCCTCGGTAGGGAATGCGGACAGGTAGTTGGAGGAAACGTTCAGGTGGTGCAAATGACTCAAGTTTTGCAGCAGGCCAGGTGGCAGACGCATGAGACCCATGTCCCCGAGGCCGAGTCGCTGTAACTCCTGAGCTGCTGGGAGAACAAACATGAGCTGTTCTATATGTAAAGAATTTCCAGAGAGATCAAGTTCGTGTAACTCGTCCAAAGCTTCCTTGATGGCGTCGTTGTCGAGGTTCACCAGACGGTTGTATGACAGGTCCAGGTACTCGAGGGAACTGTTAATAAAGGCTCCAGACTCTACACGGTTGATCTGGTTGTGTGCGAGATGCAAATAACTGAGCGACGAGCCGTCGATCACCCCTCGCTCAACAAAGGATATCAGGTTAGCATTCAGGTTAAGCTTGATGAGTTTCGGTAGGTAGATGGTGGCCACACCAGATGGCACTTGCGTGAGGCGGTTGTTGTGCAGGTCGAAGGTGTGTAGGTTAGGTAAGGCCTGAAGGAGGGAGCCGCTGAGTGATGACAGACCACACCCGGCACACACCAGTTGTTTCAACTCAGGAACGTCTGAGAACTGCTCGGGATGTAGGTCACCCAGTGGATTATAGCTCAGGTCAAGTTCCTCTAGTCGAGTGAGGCCGAAGAAGATCCTAGGCACCAGTTCTGGCACCATGTTGTGAGACAAGGTCAGTGACTGTAGACGACTCACGTAACGAAACACAGCGGATGGCACCGACTCGATAAGATTGTGACTGAGGTCCAGCCGCTGCAGGGTGTCAGCACCACGAAAGTTGGTGTCCATGAGGGCCGAGATGTGGTTATGTGTGAGGTTCAGAACTTTAAGCCGCTGCATTCCCCAGATGGAGTGAGCACCGAGGGCTGGGATGTTGGCCCAGGTGATGTGGATTTCTTCCAAACGTCGCAGTTCTTTGAAGATTGGACCGAGGGTGAGGGTGTTGGGGTGGTTGGGCGGCGCTGTGATGAAGAGAACCTCCGTGTCGACGGCCATGTCCTTCACGGGGATGGGGTCCGTCAGCCCTCCTGCCTCGCACCGAACTGACCGTCGCCCCCGCCCGTCCAGGCTACAGCGGCACACCTCAGGGCACGCCCACGCCGCGCCCACACACGACCACAGCACCAGGGCTAACAACAGCATCTGGAAAGAGACGAAAGAGTTAGCATTATTATATTAAACCAATAAAACCTACAATAACAGTTAAGACAACTTGTTAGGTCCATCGGTAATCTTTTAAGTTCCACCAATCTTAAAAAAAAAAAAATTATATATATATATATATATATATATATATATATATATATATATATATATATATATATATATATATATATATATAACCGCAAAAGCGGGATTGGATGGTACACACAATAAAACAATATCTCGTACGCCAGCCACGTAAAAGCGTGAGAGGCTCAATATGATTCCATGAAAAAGCGAATGTTATTGTGAAACACGCAGTGAAAAGCAGAGTATCCCGCCGGCCAGGGAAAAATATCGCGGTTTTGATCGGGTCCAAGGTGTCCAATCTGTTTATTTTGACATCCATTATTATATTATTATTATCATTATTATTATTATTATTATTATTATTATTATTATTATTATTATTATTATTATTATTATTATTATTATTAAGTCTGATATTACTACGATTAATTGTAATATTATGACCATTAATATTACTATGATATTATAATATATTATCGTAATTGTCCCTACACTCAGGTCTTGGTCTTACTCAGGTAGCGGGCAATTGGTTCTTCTAACTTTTCTCTTATTGGTTAATTATAACTTTCAGAAACAAAGTATAAAAAATACCACAAAATACATTTAATGGCCATGACTGGCTGGAATGACTCCACCCTCTTCTTTACCTGACTCCACCCTCTTCTTTACCTGACTCCACCCTCTTCTTTACCTGACTCCACCCTCTTCTTTACCTGACTCCGCCCTTTTTTTTATCAGACTCCGCCCCTTATTTATCCGATTCCACCCTTTTTATATTCCTCTATATTATTATTTGACTCCTCCCTATTTGACCCTAACTCCGCCCTTTTTTAGTCAGACTCCTCCCCCCTTTTATTCTTACCCCCTATTTATATTTGACTCCTCCCAATTTTCCCCTAACTCCTCCCTATTTGACCCTAACCCCACCCTCTTTTTTCTCTAAGTTCACAAATAGTTTCCCAGGCGAGGATAAACACAGCTACAGCGTCCAGGACATTCAGACAGCTTTAGAATATGTAAATGAGTGGGTCAGCTAAACGATAATTAAACACTGGACCAACAATTACAGAATATTTTTGTTGTTGTTGTTCATAAACTTTTGGGAGGGATGTTATTTGCGGTAATTGTAACTAGGAAACACTGGTACTTTATATCTGTTTATAGTGTGGTGGATTTGCATACTTATTTGAATTGGTGTAAGTATGTGGATGTTATGTTGAATATTTACCTGTGTTTTGTGTGATTTGTTGTAGTTAATAATAATAATGACGATAATGATTAATAATATAAATAATAATAATAGTAATCATAATAATAATAATAATAATAATAATAATAATAATAATAATAATAATAATAATAATAATAATAACAATAATAATAATAATAGTAATAATAATAATAATAATAATAATAATAATAATAATAATAATAATAATAACAATAATAATAATAGTAATAATAATAATAATAGTAATAATAATAGTGATAATAATAATAATGATGATGATGATGATGATGATACAATGAGTCAAAATATAAGGTGTAACTAAGAAACAAAACAATGAATGAAAATGTAAAAATAATAATATGAAGTTTAATGATGAATGCGGTCAGGAGTTCCGTGGTTGCTGGCGGTCACTGGCGGTCACTCAGATACAAGGGCGAGTAGGGGTAGAGGAAAAACCCACGTGCTTGCGGGCATGACGTGCGTTGATTGGGTCTTTTTTTCATTACGATGTTCGATGGATTAATTTTTGGCTTTGATTATGCGGAGAGTTTTAAATTTTTGTATTTCAAGGATGTAATGAGACAGGCGAGTGGTGGATGGCATTGTGGGTAAGAGTCAATACCTGAACCAGAATTGCGTCCGGGGTCACACTATCCCTGCGTCTCATCCCCGTCTCGGAAATTAGGATGACCTGAAGATTAACCACCCCAGTTTATTTCACGGGGTATTTAAACAACCTAACCTAACCTCACCTAACCTAACCCAACCTATGTCAAGTTAAAATATTCGTGGTATACTGTAATAGCATTAGGGTGGTTGATCTTCATGTAATACAATAACAGTAAAAATTGTCTATTATGGAAGTATAGACCAAATTAAATAGATAATACCCCACCCTTTATATTTTTCTTACATTTTTATTTATTTTTCTTCCTCGTTAGCATATTTTTTTTTCTATACTAATGTTCAATTCACCATTCATGTATTTTGTATTTATTTATATATTTTATTTTTATTTTTTGTATATGTTGATAGAACTTCGAATTTTAATGATAATTTTTTGGGGGTGTGATTTTTTTCCTTTTTTCTTTTATTTTCTTTTTTTTTTTCTTTCCTTTGTTCCCCTCACCCCGCGTCCCCCCTAATTAAAGCGTCGCTCCAGTCCAAATCAAAATATACGATTACAAGTGGCTGTCTCTTTTAAATTAGTTTTTCCCCAGTGACCGTGGACAAGTACACTACCACGTACAGTCAGCTTTACATTACCAAGGACAGACAGCGTCATACTACCACGTGTTACAGTCAGCTTTACATTACCACGTACAGTCAGCTTACAAACAGATGTAGTGTCAAATTTATTGCTACTTATTATGTAAAATTATTCTGTTAAACAGTTATTAGCAATATTAGTAAGTTATTATTATTATTATTAGTAGTAGTAGTAGTAGTAGTATTAGTAGTAGTAACAGCAGCAGTAGTAGTTGTTGTAGTAGTAGTAATAGTAAACAATGACAGACAGCTTATGGCATAGTCTCTCTTAATCTGGACGCGTCAACATCCCTCCAGTGTTATGATGTGACAGCTGACGCCATGGATCTGAGAGGGGCGGGGAACGTAGAATGAGAGGGAAAGAAAGGGAAGGTCGAGAGAGGTAGGGAGGTGTAGATTGAAAGGGGAGGGAGAGAACAGGTTAAGTAAGGGGAGGGGGCAGGATAGGGAAGGGGAGACTGAAAAGGATAGACTGAGAGAAACGTGATAGAGACAACAGAGATGGTTTTCCTGTTGTGTGTGCGTGATTTTTTTTAGTGGTCTTTTCCCTTCCCTTCCCTTCCCTTACGCTACCACTCCCTACCCTTCATCACCCCCTGCCCTTCACCACCTCCCTTCCCCTACCCTACCACCCCCTACCCCTCATCACCCTCTACCCTTCACCACCCTCCCTCCCCTTCACACACACCCCTCCCTTCCCCACCACCTCTCTTTTCACCACCTTTAACCCAGCCCTTCCTTTTCTCCAAGCTGCTATTCCCTTCTCCCCTTCTCCTCCCCCCCCCCACGACACAGGTTTGTCACACAAGGCTCTGCAGTGTTTTGAAAGAGGGTCGGCTTGTGTCTGTGGTGTCGAGGACATTATGAATACAAAGGGCGGGACGTTGTGACACTCTGTGGATCTCCTGGCCAGCATGTTGACGATCCGATGCTGTTGAGGTGCAGATGACGCTTGCTCTCTCTCAACTCTTTTTCTTTCTTCTATGTAAAATTCTACTCTCTTTATCGTTATTTTGTTTTTTTCCTCTCACTCTTCTGAATGTTTTGAATTGGTTGTTAGACGGGCTAGTGGTTGAGCTGAGGAACGTGTCAGGTGGACTTACTGAGGCAGGATAATCCGGGTAAAGTCAATACACGTGGCGGGAGTAGGTAGGTAGTCTGCAGGTGTGGTGGTGGTGGTGGTGGTAGGGTGGTGGTAGTGGTGGTGGGGGGGGTGATGTGGTGGTGGTGATGATGGTAGGGGGGGTGGTGGTGGGTGATGGTAGGGGGTGATGTAGTGGTGGTGATGATGGTAGTGGTAGTAGTGGTGGTGGTAGTGGTGGTGATGATGATGGTGGGGGTGATGGTAGTGGTGGTGATGATGGTAGGGGTGGTGGTGGTGATGATGGTAGGGGGGGTGATGGTAGTGGTGGTAGTGCTGGTGGTAGTCTTAATGATCATGGATGATGTTAATTTACTCTTGGTTTTGGGTGTCAGCAAAGACCCTGTTGTTAGCGAGCAGAGGCACCGACCGTGTTGCTGGTGATAGTGGTAGTGTGAGTAATGGAGGGTGTAATGACGGAATCAATAACTCAGTGGTTGGTGGTGGTGTGGTAGTGGTAGTGGGGGCAATGTGATGGTTGGTAGTGGTGGATGTGATGGTGGTGGTATGTGATGGTAGTGGCAACAGTGGTATTTTGTCTCTATTACCAGTGGAACTTTGTAATTGCTATGGTCTATTTAGCTTGATGGAGGGTTTTCATACCTGTGTTGATGGCTGTACTTACCTACCTAACCTACCTACCTACCTACCTACCTACCTACCTACCTACCTACCTACCTACCTACCTACCTACCTACCTACCTACCTACCTACCTACCTACCTTACCTACCTACCTACCTATTTATGTATCCTATAAACGCTGGCAATACAAGAGGTAGTAATAGGACTAATTGTGGTTGATGGTGGCTGGTGGCTGGAGTCGTGTACAGGAAGAGGAAGGATACACACACAGACACACACACACACACACACACACACACACACACACACACACACACACACACACACACACACACACACACACACACACACACACACACACACACACACACACACACACACACACACACACACACACACACACACACACACACACACACACACACACACACACACACACACACACACACACACACCATAACCCTCTCCCCTGGGGCGGACTATTACCTGCACTGAGTGTGACAGTGATGGCGTGTGTTGTCCAGTCTGGTGTTGTCGTTGGTTCTGTCAGCAGGTGGGAGGCGTGAGAAATAATGCAGCAGTTTGCGGTACTAGTGCGGACGTAATTGTTATGGTGGTGGTAGTGGTGGTGGTAGTGATGGTGGTAGTGGTAGTGGGTTGGGTGGTTGGGGTCCCTTCAGCTTGTC